TATATATATAAATTACACACACACACACACACACACACACACACACACACACACTCATACAAGACTCTTTGCATTGGTATTAATGTGACCTAATATCTAAATTATTATTACGGATAATCACATAGTCAGCCAGATGTTTAGGCTCAATTTGACATTTTTACCTACCTATCAAATCCTTTCTGAGGACCTGGGATAGGCAGATGTTATTTGACCATGTTAAGGGTATTGCTGCAGGATGTAAGCTTTTCCAAATAAAGCTGCCTTTTGCAATTGACTGGTGGTGTCTTCCACTATGCCACTGATCTTTGCACAAAGCTTCTGATATTTCTATTGACTCCTTCTAGGGACTTGATTATCCAATCATATGGCTGGGAGTTGAATGCTTTCTTTTACATTCAAGTTGGCGTCCCTTCTCTTAAGAGTTTTCCAAAATCATCTTGTCAATTAGGAGCTGATCTTTTGTTTCCTCTGCTCTTTGGACAGTTTCCTTTTGGCTCAGGTATCAATATATTTTTAGCTTTTTTTATATGAAAGAAATTGGTACCTTTCTAAGCAATACAGTACCAGTTATGTGTATATGTGAAATAAAAGGGGCTGATAGCTATTAAAAAGATACTGAATAAGGTTGGGTTTTACAGAAAAGTCATGCCCATAGTGATTTCATCTTTTTTATCCACCTTGACAACTAGATATTCTTTAGGAATGTAAATCGCTATGCTTGGTATGATTTTGGCATTTATAAATTAAAGAAATAAATATCCTGAAGGCAAAGCCTATGAAATGCTAGTCATCAGGATCAAAGTAATGCTGCAGGGTTGATGGGTCAAACTGTTTTTATGTAATTTCAATATGATTTAGAAATAAGAATAAGAAAGCAACTGGACATTTTACCAAAGCCAAACAGGATGTAGACTGCTCCATGGCAGGTGATATAAGTCTGTGGATTAATCAGTTTTCCACTTCTATTGATACTGTACTTCACAGGTCCTCCCACTGGGTTTCCAGTTTTAGTCGATATCAGGATAAAGCTTAATTCTGGCTACATAAAAAAAAAAAGATAGAGGGGATGTAAAGATGGAAGTCCAATTACTCTCTATCCAATGCACATCCAAGAAAGACTGAATGAAAAAAAAAATATTATTTTCTAGCTGCATCCTGTTAAATCTTATCAGGTTTCTTATTTAACCAATCTATCCAAGGGTCAGATCCTGTGGGGAAAGTTGAGTATAGCTTATTACTGCAGTTTTTGAATTAACAAAAGTTTATAATATTTTTCTGCTTCAGAAAAAAAGGCTGGCACATTTTGGAAGACTATTCATTAAGCAATTATTCTAGCCTTGCCTAATCTTTCTAAATATCTTGAACATCTTGTTGGGATAAGCTATAAGAAAATAGTGTGTTCAGATCTTTCTCCTTCCTTACCCAGGCTTTTGAAATGCAGCCTACCTGTGTTTTTCCAAGAGTCAAGACCATCAAATCGCTGATGCGATCTCCATCCACATCAGGTATAATAACAGCTGGAGCAGCCAAGATTCCATTAGAAAAGTGGGAGGTATCAAAGGTCCAAACTGGCTTCCCTAAAGGATGATATACAATAACATATGTATCAGCCAAGAAGCATCTTACAAACTGGCTAGGGTTTACAGGTAGGGTGTGCTCGATTGGTGAGGGTGTAGGGGGAGGTGGCAATTGAACAAACTTCAACCAAAAGCTGGTCACATTTATCAAATATTCAATTTAGCACTTTCCAGGTATGTTAGGATCGCAACTCCAATAATTTAATTTCTAAAGATCGTTGGAAATACAATAATTAAGTCAGATCTGTGGTTCCCAACTGCACACTGCACTGGCCCAGGGTTGCCCCAGCAAACCTACAGGTGTGTCACAGTTATTACTTAATAAACAGAACTCTTATTGCTGATGGGCAGAGTTTGGGAACCATGAAGGGCACCATGAACTCAAAAAGTTTGGGAACTCTTTTTATCTTAGCTTGTTTTGTTTTCATATTCGGTGACAATGTTGCAAAGCCCAGCGGTTCTGGATTTGTAGGTAGTCCTTGACTTATGACAACAACTGAGCTCAGAATTTTGGTCATAAGCCATTGCAGTCTAAAATCAAGTCACATGTGACCAGTCTTAAATTTATGAGTATTTTCCAACATTTGATAAGTGAATCACTGCAGTCAATAAGCAAGTCACATGGTCATAAGTCCAAATCCAGCTTATCCAAGAGGGTTTTTTTTACTGTAAAACATTTTTAAAAACCCACAAAATGCAATCGCATGACCACAGGATGCTGCAAGCTATCATAAATGCAAGCCAATTACCCAGCATCCAAAATGTAGTCACATGATTGCAGACTCCTCACATCCTGGACACAAACTGATTCATCTTTTTCCCTCAGGATGGTGCTACAGAGCAGCGATGGCTAACCTTTTCGTCGTCGTGTGCCAAAAGTGTGCCCATGCGTACGCACATGCCTACACCCATAATACATAGTTTGACCTGCAAAATATTTGCCACTTTACAAATCTGTGCCTGTTTTCAAAACTGTGTCTTATTGACCCTTTTTGTGTCCATTGTTGAAGTTTACATTATTTTAAAAGTAATTTATATGGTTAGCACTGAAGAAAGAAGGTTGACAATTCAATGGCACAGTAGATCCTTGACACTTCTCATCTAAAAGATCAAATGTTGGAAGAAAAAAGAAGAAGCTGTTCAACAAGGTATCATTATTCCTTCTAATAAGGAATCAGAGTCAGAAAATGGGGTGTTTCAATAGTGTGAATTATTAGCTGCACCAAATCAACTTACCTGATGGGGCACTCAGAAGACTGAGGAATGCAGAGGTCCCAGTAACAAGACAGACAGGCTGTGCAGAAAATGCAGAGTCCAAATTCTTACACTGCACACCCAGAATCCCTTCTTTAACATGGCTGGACCATAAGATGCTGCCGTTCATACCCGAAAGTGCTATTATTGTTACCCATGGTGTGGAGACACCTGAGGACACAGGTAGAAGAGGTAAATTGATCTTTCTATAACAAAAGGGGGGAAACTGCTGTGGAGAGTTGTGCTCCTTTCAAATTTTTCCAAGGCTACTTGGAAAGTGAAGTATACATTGCAACATATCGCAGTGAAGTGATTGTTCATTAAGAAATCAAAGACACTAAATATTTCGTTTAAAAACTGTCACTCAGATATGGAGCAATTGTGTTCATGTTCTTTGCCAGCAAGTTTGCTAGAAAGAAGGTTGAGTTTGTGGGCTGCCAGCTTGATACAATTTCATTAAGCTCTCAGTTCTGAAATTACTTATTACAATATGAATACTTACCCAATACACTAGCATTTTTCAAAGCTGTGAAGGAGAGTAAGACATCAGGGAGACCATCATTATTTACATCAAAAAGTTCTGGTGGAAACAGAACTCCATCTGAAAAATAAGGTGGAATAGTTACTTTTCCAGAGTGTACCTCCCATCTATTCTAAGCATATTCAGGATGGCTATTGATACAGGTATCATAAAAATTTTGTGGTAAATGTAATTTCACTATTTTCTGCAGTTTAGCCCACTCAGACAAATTTCTTGACCATTGTAATCAATTCACATGAGCTAACATCTCACAAAACGACCTTCTTGAGAAACCTTTGATCCTGACCCCTTATCCTAAAACTCAAAATCACTACTATTGCTACAAATGTAAGGGAGAGTTCAGATCACTTAAAATCCAAGAACCTGAGGTGCCTGGCATGAGTTTTGAAACATTTCAATATGAGGAAAAGAGGAATTGAACAAAATTGATGTCAGGACTGGTCCAAAGTAACAAACTGAATCTACATAACAGCAAAGATAAGTTACTGATGTAAAGCTATTTTGAGGATTACTTCCTATCATGCTGTGGTTTTTAGAAACTACAAATCCTGCTCTTCACTCTACAACATAATAACTCTTGCACATACTAAATATCCTGTACTATAATAAATATCAAAGTAGTTATACCATTTCTATATAATTCTGAAGTGGGAAACATGTTGATATCAAAAACAGCATTTAAAAATGGCATTTCCAGCTGCAGAATAACAAATGAAGAAATAAAAGATAATTGTTTTGTTTCCTGGAATAATAAATTAGCTTAAATTTAAGCCCTCATTTGTTTTTCCTCTGTTCAAAGGTCAAATTTAGTTAACATTCTCATGTATGACTCAAAAGATTCACATATGCACATTCATTATCTTGTCATTCAAGGCTCAACTGGATAGAGCATTGCTATACTCAAAATCAAAGAAAATAAATCTTTGAACAGAATAACTGTCACAGAATTAAATAAATTTATGCACCTGGTTTAAAAATAAGCTTTAATATGTTTTGTTTATGGAATTTGAGACAATTGGGAACAATTGTTTAATTGGAAATAGTCTAAGATAGCTTTTACTAAATTGAAATAAAACTTTCAATATGATATAAAATACCTCAGTCAAGAAACTGCCAAAGAGTCGGTTGTAAGGCTTCGTCGACGGCAGGAATCCGCTTCTCTGCGGGTCCCTGCTGTGCTCGCCGTCAAGGTACCCCCGATCCAACTGGATTTGGGGGTTGTCGCTACCCTGAAGGGGCAGCGGAAGACAGAGGAGATCCGAGCAGGGGTCTGGGGACATCGCACCCCCCCTCCCCAGCCGGCTAGACTCCTTTTTCCCGAGACGGATGAGCGGCTGTCTCGGCAGCCATGAAGGATTCTTCAACCGGACAAGTTTGTGCAGGAGGAAGACTTAGAAGGAGAAGTTTTCTTGGCTAAACCAGGACATGATGTTACTTTTAAAACACCCTGGAAACCTGACTTTGGATTGATACATTTGTTTCCAAAAGAATTTGTAACATCGGCGAAAGTGCTGAAGGAAAGCTCACTACCCCTCCCTACGGAGAAAGCAAAGGAGCACAGAAAAACTTGCTCTCTAAAGGTAAAAATAAGCTCTTTGTTGTAAGTGGGAAGGGGAGGACTAAAAAAAAAAAAAATTTTTTTTTTTTCTAAACTTTGCTGGAGGAGACGCCTTGAAGATTACAAGACCATTAATTAATGGAAATACGGCTTTTAAAATATATCTGGGATTTTGCCTCTGGAGAAAAAACTGTAAAGAGAAGAAGAGGAAAAAAGTTTTGCTTGTTTGGATTGTTTGATAACTCTGACATTTGGAAATTACTTCAAGATTGAAAGCATCTGGGTTGTTGTTGTTGTTGTTGTTGTTGTTTTAAAAAAAAAACTTATAATGGTACCATCGGTTGATGAACTGAAAATGGAATATGAAAAATTAAAAGAAAGACAACAAAGTGGCAAGGATTCTTTGGGAGCTGCCTTCCATTTTTTAGAAATGGCGGTTTCTACGTACCAGCAAACACTGGAGGAAGGAGAAGGAGAAGAAGAAGAAAAGGAAGAAGCCATCTTTAATGGACTAAAAAGTTTGATTAAGAAAGAAAATGGGAAGGAAGGAAGGGAAAAGGAGAATTTAAGATTTAATAAAACAACCAAGAAAAAGAAAAATAGGATGAAAAGAAGGTACAATGTTAGAAAGCAATTCAAAAGAGAATTACAACAGAGAGGGAAACTTAAAAAGGGGGAGAGGAGAGGAGGGGGCAAAAAGACCAGATTGGAGAAGAAAGGGAGGGAAAAAGAAAAAAAAAGCCACGGGTTAGGACAAGATTTTTTTAAAAAAAGTTTTTTCTTTAGAGATGAAGGATGATAGATAGCTTATAATTAAAGAAGATTCTGCAAGAGTGCATAAGATAGTATTGTAGTATTTGTATTTGGAACAGTTTATTGGAATATTTAATGAAATATTAATGTTTAATAATGATGGATGTTGATATTTGATTAAATATTAGGAGATCTGTTAAATGATTAATGCTTAGTTAAAGTTTAATTTGTTAGTGTTTTAATATTATTATAACTTTAGTATTTTATTTTTTCTATTCTAAAACAATGTACTTATTAGAACTAGAATTAGAATAGAAATTATATATTTAATTATACTATAAGTTTGTTATTCTTTCATTTTAAGATTTAATATGTAGAAGGTACTAAGCAGAATCAGAATGGAAATTATGTATTATTTTAAGTTTTATTTTAGGAGAAGGCGTCATACTTCAAAAGCGATTACAGGGGAAATTTTTGGTTAAAGGGAAGAGATACATAGATGTTTACTAAAGAACGGACAAAAGACATAAGTATAATGACTTTGAAATAAGATGAAATAAATAAAATATAATTAAGAGAGTGAAAAGATGGGAGAAGTTATATAGAAAATACAAAATGATTAATAAGATATGAAGGGTATATAAGGTGGGCATGAATTTGATTTAGGTCTGTCAAAAAAGATGTAACCTGGGGCCAAGTCACTTTTCAAAGAAGTTTTATGTTTTATGTTTAGTGTGTGGATTATGTTTGATTCTAAATTAATAAAATCTTGGAGAAATGAAATTAAAGGGAGAGAAATTGGGAAAAGATATGTATAAATGATAACTAAGGAGGTTTTTTTTTTTTTTTCTCCAATGTTTTGCTTCAAGTGTGATAATGTGGAACCATGTTTTAAAGAATAATGCTTTGTTTGTCTTGTTGAAGTTTATGGGTAGTTCTTGGAAAGGAGGTTATATATGTTTTGTTTGTCTTGAAAAATCAATAAAACTTGTTTAAAAAAAAAAAAAGAAACTGCCAAAGAGTCAACAGTAAACAGCCTAACCTAGTGGTTCCCAAAGTGGGCGGTACCACCCCCTGGGGGGCGGTGGGATGCCTTAGGGGGGCGCTATAAGGTAAGGGGGCCAGTAGTGGGGCACCAAGAGGCAGCAGGGGGCCGTTCGAGGCACTGGCTCTGCAGGTTCACTCATTGACTGTAGCACTGCTCCGGAGCCGGCACCTCCAATGCAGAAGTGGTGGCAAGTTACGTGCTGCCGCGGCCGCATTCAATGTGCCGCCCCCCTGCCACCTCTTAGCACCCTTCTGCCGGCCCCCTTGGGGATGCTAAGAGGCAGCAGGGGTGCATTCGAGGCGTTGGCTGACCCTGCAGGTTCATCCATTGACTAGCACCACTCTGGAGCTGGCACCTCCAATGGGGAAGTGGTGGCACGTTACATGCCGCCGTGTTCGATGAGCTGCCTCCTGCCACCTCTTTGCACCCCTCTGCTGGTCCCCTTGGGGATGCTAAGAGGCAGCAGGGGGGCATTCGACGCGCTGGCCCTGCAGGTTCACTCATTGACTGTAGTAATGCTCCAGAGCTGGCACCTCCAATGCGGAAGCAGTGGGACGTTATGTGCCGCCACGGCCACATTTGATGTGCTGCCCCCCTGCCACCTCTTAGCATACCCAAGGGGGCCAACAGAGGGGTGCTAACAGGTGGCAGGGGAGCGTTCGAGGTGCTGGCCAGCCCTGAAGGTTCACCCATTGAGGCGCCTGCTCTGGAGCGGTGCTACAGACAATGGGTGAACCTGCAGGGCCAGCGCCTCAAACGCCCCCCTGCCGCCTCTTAGCATCCCCAAGGGGGCCAGCAGAGGGGCACTAAGAGGCGGCAGGGGGGCAGCGCATTGAACGTGGTGGCGACACATAACGTGCCACTGCTTCCGCATTGGAGGCGCCGGCTCCGGAGCGGTGCTAGTCAATGGGTAAACCTGCAGGGCCAGCCAGCACCTCGAACACCCCCCTGCCACCTCTCAGCGCCCCTCTGCTGGCCCCCTTGGGGATTCTAAGAGGCAGCAGGGGGACGTTCGAGGCACCGGCCCTGCAGGCTCACCCCATTGACTGTTGTACTGCACTGGAACTGGTGCCTGGAATGCAGCAATACATTGGGAAAAGCCGCCACCACCGCTTTCCCAAAGTGCCACCGCTGTCGCATTCTGTCTGTCTATCTGTCTGTCCATCCATCCATCCAAAAGATATATTTGCCTGCCTGCCTTCCTGCCTATCTACCTGTCTGTCTTTCTGTCTACCTAACTACCTACCTACTTATCTACCAATATAGATCTATCTATCTATCTACCTACCTACCTACCAATATATCTATCTGCCTGCCTGATTGCCTGACTGTTTCTCTCTTTCTCTTTCTCTCTCTCTCTCTCTCTCTCTCTCCATCCATCCATCCATCCATCCATCCATCTATCCATCCATGTTCGAAGCGCTGGCCCTGCTGTGCATTGGGAAAGTAGAGCAAAGCCAGTCTGGGAGGGAGGGAGGGAGGGAGGGAAGAGGGAGGGAGGGAGAGACAGAGAGAGAAAGAGAGAGAGACCTGATGCATCAGATTGAATGAGGCCTAGTTTAGACTGAGGCCCTTTTCCACATTGAAACCTCTTTGGCTTCTATTAAAGGTTTTGTGGACAAAACATGGTCAAGACTATCAGGAAGCTGTCACATTTTGTTGAGGCTTTAAATAGGATCTATTGGACCAGATCTCCACCCTAAAAATTACTTTTCGCCAATGTATTACAGTGCCAATTCTGAAGAAGGCAAAACCAAAATGTACTGGTAAATTCCAAGGAGAACACACACACACACTCCCTTCTAACCCTGCTGGAGCAGGTGATTGGACTAGAATAGATATCTCATTATCTTTCTCCTCCCTCTCTCCCTCCTTCTTTACTTATTTTTCTTTCTGTCCCTTCCTTCCATCCCCCCTTCTTTGTTGCTTTTTTTTCCTTTCCCTTTTCTCTTTCTTTTCTTCCTTCCTTTCTCTCTCTTTTCTCTCTCTCTTTTTCCCTTTGGATCAGGAGTTGCCAAACTTTTGGACCTCAGGGACCACCAAACTCATAATTTTAAATCCCGAAGACCACTAATATGAATTTTGACTGAGGGTGGCTTTCTGGCATTGGTGGGAGAGAGAGAAAAAGAGAGAGAGAGATCAGATCCAACCTCTCTCTCTCCCTCTCTCTCACACACACAGGCAGGGGAGGAATTTAGACCCCTGATCTAAAGCTGTCAAAACTCCAAAAACAAGTCAAGTAGCTCTGGGGAGGCCAGTCATAAATTAGAATGCTTGCTAAACAACCGACCATTAAGTGAGGACCACTTGTATTTGGTTTGCCAGTCACTTGGCCACGCCCACCTAGTCATATGACCAGCAAGCCACGACCACCCAGTCATGTGACCAGCAAGCCACTCCCTCGCATTAGGCCATGCCCACAGAAATTTGAATCCCATCCCTGGGTGTGGGGCACCGAGATGAGTTTGTAGCACCAAGGGGGCGGTGGATTTAAAAAGTTTGGGAACTACTGGCCTAACCAAAGAATCTCTAAGACTACCCCCACCAACAGGGCAAGCCACCAGAATAATGAGAGCGAACCCCACTCCTTACTAGCCCTGATGATGTTACCTAATTTGGATAATGAAACTTCTGCAAGAAAACATGTCAGAGAGCACCAAGGACCCCTCATTTCAACCCTGAGCTATAAATATTCTCCTTTACTGGTATCTATATTTTCAATAAAACTCTCAGTATATTTCTTGGTAGGGTATACATTTCATAATCTGTTATTCCCAGATATTTCTTACCTGCTACTTGACCTAGATTGTGAATCCAAGTATTATGCAAGTCTCTTGGTGGACAAGGAATGAGGAAAGCACACACCAGCACAAGGATCATGGAGATAACTACAGTGAGTAAAAAGATGGCTGTGCGCAAATAAGGCATTAAGGAACTGGATGTCTTCTGCTCCAAACCATTGTTCATTTCACTTGGGTACTCTTCTGTGATACCCTCTGAGAGATGCTGCTTGGCTGTACCAGTTTCCACATCAGAATCCACATCCTGGATTTCCCCTACGGGACTTTTCCCATTTTTAACTCCACCATTCTTCTGCAAATTGAGGACCAAGTCATCTTCACTCTCATCACTGTCAGCCTGAGTGAGAGGGTCATATTCCCCAAGGTCTGGGCTCTTCTTACCTGAGAAGGTAGGTGGAAAGTGAGAAGTATGATGAAAGAACTTGTGGCATTTTCAGGACCACTAATTTAAAAAAAAAAACCACTAAAAAAGAAAAGAAGGCAATTTATCAGATAAGGTAATAGCCGTGCTTACGGCATGGAGATGACACTGTGGAACAGAAGAAAAAGTCTGCTTATATTTCAAATTTTATTTTGAATTATATTATTTCATTTTTATGTATCAAATTTGACCACCCATTTCACTATAGGCAGAGTTTTTCTAAGAAAAAAAGGATATGGATTATATAATTGTTAATGCCTTCATTTCTATAATAGAAAACAATTATCTGTGAAGCAATTATGTTGTTCTTTTATGGTTAACCTATATATGCCAAAATTCTGTCCTCTAAACCAGGGGTCCCCAACTCCCAGGGTGAGGCCCACTACCAGGCCTTGAGCCCTTTGGAACATTGCATACATCCCCCCCACTTGCGTGATAAGTGGGCAAGCATGGGCACGTGCTCTCCATGGGCACAAGCAGCAGGTGCAGATGCCTGCCACTCATGCTTGCCCGCCATTCATGCAAAAACATCTCTTCTCTCCCCTCCCGGCCAGTTCCCAAAGCCGGAAAGCTCGGGGAACTCTGCTCTTAACCATCTTTCTGGTGAGGCAGTTTAAAACATTCTCTCACCTGCTTTCAGAGCACAATAACTAAAACACCACCAATTTTGTAGCCTATCATTTACGGCCTAGTGCTGTAAAGTTACACAGGACAACATTTTCCCAAAGTTTTGTTTCTGCAAAATCTTTGGCATTGATAGACCCTTTCAGACTGAACACAAATATAATTGTGACCATTTCTTTTTCTTGCTCAGCTGTCCCATCACATGTGTAACAACAGTACTTGATATAGGCAAGCTTTATTCCAAGCAGCAAAGCTGCTACTTTTAGATCTCTGCAGATATTCCACTTGTACTTAGTGTAATGTCTGGAACCCACATTACGTATCTGATATTAACACAGTTGAGAAAGTCCAGAAATATTTCACAAGAAGAGTTCTCCACTCCTCTACTCGTTGTAGAATACCTTATACCACCAGACTCGAAATTCTAGACCTAGAAAACCTACAACTATGCCGCCTTCGGTCCGATCTAAGTATAGTATATAAAATCATACATTGCAATGTCCTACCAGTCAATGAATACTTCAGCTTCAACCATAACAACACTAGAGCAAACAATAGATACAAACTCAAGGTTAATCGCACCAAACTCGATTGCAGGAAATACAACTTCAGCAACAGAGTGGTCAATGTTTGGAATACTCTACCTGACCCTGTGTTTTTTTCTTCAAACCCCAAAAACTTTAACCTTTGACTATCTACTATTGACCTCACCCCTTTCCTAAGAGGTCTGTAGGGGGTGTGCATAAGTGCAACAAGGTGCCTACCGTCCCTGTCTTATTGTTTCTTTTATATATTTTTTATTTTTCTTATATGTATTCATGTATTCATAGCTATGTTTTTACTTATACCTATTATCTTGTAAGCAATTGACAAATTAAATAGTAAATAAATAAAGTTTCACATTTTTATATATTTCTTTTATGCACGCAGCACAACCAACAGGTACTGAAGGTTGTACATTATATTGCCATTGTGTAAAAACAGATGATTTCTATAAAATGGTGCATGATAGTTTAAATTACAGGTTATTTTCATGATTAGTAGCCAAAAATCTGTAAACACATTCAGGAAGCAGTACATTTGTTTAGTGTTATCATAACAACACTTTACAGAGTTTTCCTAGAATGATGTTAAAAATACAAAAGGGGTTAACAAATAATTTTGACTTTATAGCTCAAAGCAAAAGGAATTTTAAACTGTTATCAACTCACACTTACTTCAAAATAAGCATGTATGATTTACTTCCCATAATTATGCTTGAGATCACACTTTAAGGTTTCAGGAACAATATCTAATATGCTTTACTATAGCAAGAAACTTGACTTCTGTTACTATACTTTTTTTAAAAAATCACTTATACATTCATCCAATTATATCAATTTCATTAAAAGACTACATCCTCAATTTCTTTTGCCTGCTTTGGTTAGGCAATGTAAAATTGAGAAGTAACAAAAGGAGTCCCTGTGGATCTTCCTTCGCTAGTCATTGCCGACTATAGGGGGCAATACTCATCTCTGTTTCAAGGTCATTGAGTCCACACTCTCCAAAGAGATTTCTGTGGTCATGTGACCAGCATGACATCACAGGGCACTGTTACCTTCTCACCAAAGTGATACCTACCAATATTTATCTACTTGCATTTCTACTTTCGAACTGCTAGGAACTGGGGCAAGGATGGGAACCGTGGTGTATCACAATCAGGTCTCACAATCAGGTCTCAAACCTGGGCTTATAAACCTTATAAATCCTGGATCCTAAAATCAGCACCTGTATGTGCCAGTGTATTCCATGGCACTCAGTGGCCTACCAGGCTCTATGCTTCATCTGAAATTATGCTTAAATATCCTTTTAACTGCAACAAAACTAGGTGAGAAGTTTGCTTGATGCAAAACAAAGATCTGTCTTTGGGCATCTTCTTTATTACCAACAAGGATTAACTTAACTTGCAGACTAAGCTATTGTAGAAGGGGGAGCCTCACAACTTTCCTTTCTGATACATGTTTTGGAATTTATGTGGCTGCTCTGAAAATGTTATGGAAGATATTTGTGTGTTTTCAGTTTTATCCCATTTATCTACTACCTCACTCCTCTCTTATTAATTTTGCAGTAAGGATTAAAAATACATTTTAAAATGTCAGTAACAAAAACCTATGGAAATCAAATATCAAATATGAAGAAAAACATACTACACAAACTCAACAGAAGCTAAATCTTCTCAATGCGGGGGGTGGTGGTGAGGAAAGGGAAAATATGGGATACACAATACATGAATGCTTTCTACAAGGAAAAATAATAGAGAAAAGGCTGTATTTGATAGAAAGGTGGGAAATGCTTTAAAAAGGGATTGCATGGCTCAGTCTAATGAGCAAGACAGCTGAGAGAATTCCCAGTCATTATCTCAAGTGCATTATCTCAATTCTCTGAGGATTTCTCTTCCTGGGACTTTGTAGATCTATGCCAGAGCAAACAAGATAAAGGAAAAGCAGAATCTGAAGCCAAGCATTATTAATCCAATTCCAGTATAACAGGGCTTTTCTACCCAACTTTCTTTTTGCCATTAAGTCAACTCCTCATACCTGCCCAGAAAGGTTTCCTGGAGTTTCCTTGGCATGATTTTGGATGTGGTTGCTGTTGTCTCCTTCCTAGGACTAGGTGTGCGCGACTGGCCCAAGGTCATGTAGCTGGCTTCATGCCTAAAGCAGGACTATAACTCAGTCACTCAGTTTCTATCCAGATTTTAATTATGATACCGAACTGGTTCTCTTTACATTGCTATAGGATACTTGATTTACTTTCGCTAGTTAACAACCACAAGAAGTTAGAATAGTCCACATTTTCAGCTAATAGAAAGATGTTAAGTTTCAGAAGAAAAAAATAGCTTCTTAGGTGTACTTTCTCATTTTTGTCTGGAATTTCTCAGGCTCTAACTCACCAAATCAAATTAGGTACCATAGTGCAATTGTTCAATCTGCATTTAACTGGAATGTTTCAATTAATTTTTCAGAATTTCCCAATTCACTCAAGAGTGCATAGCTCACAGTTCTCACTGTTCAATTCTCTCTAAAGATGTTTCTCTGCATCTTTACACAAGGTTACAGCCTTTAAACCAGGGGTCCCCAAACTTGGCAACTTGAAGACTTGTGGACTTTAACTCACAGAATTCCTCAGCCAGCTAAGATAAGCTGGCTGAGGAATTTTGGGAATTGAAGTCCACAAATCTTAAAGCTGCCAAGTTTAGGGACCTCTGCTTTAAACCTATTAAAATGTAAAAAAGACAAACATGTTTATTCATCATATTCCTATATCATCCATCTCACCTAAATGACTTCACTCTTAAAGGTTAAGACTAGCCCAACAGAAAATCCTGGACAAGATAAACCAAGCTGTACAAGAAAGTTATTATTTGTTGACCTCTGCACGCACTTTGATATGCAGCCTCACTCAACCATGAAAAGCTTAAAATAAGACTTTAATTATAGTTATATCTCTTGAAGTTTAAAAGAGATGACAAAAACTCAGTTAAATCAACAACCTTCCCAGCACTTTCACTAACAGCTGGAAAGATTCCAAATGGACAGCTGGTACCACAGCCAATAAACCAAGGATTGTATTATTATTCTATCTGCTCTGCCTTTTCCGTGATGAAACAAAACAAAATATTCCAAACCCAAAAGCCTTATTTACCCTCCCTGAAAATTCCATGAATGAAAGTGAAGGCGACTGCAACATTGTATCATAGCCAGAAAGTATCTGGCTCCCATTTTCACTGTCTGTCGAGTTCTCAAATAATTCCTTTACTTCCAAAACACGTTATTCCTCGTGAAATGTAAATATTTGCAAAAATGCTGGCTAGCAATACTTTGATCCAAATTGCTCTTAGGAACAAAGATTGCACAAACAGGCAGACCTATTTTCTGTTGCAACAGTAAAACAATAACTACTCATTCCTCTACCTCAAAGCTTCACCCCATCACTTCCCCTGGGACCAGCACTGCCTCAGTTTCTTCTGCCATCAAGATTAACCTTTCCTCCCCGCTAAAGAACTGGGTGGTCTCCGCACCTCTACTGCGCATCCACAAACGCTTAACAAAGATAGCCACGATTTATCTCATTCGCCTCTCCACTCCCTATAATAATTATCCTTATTTTTTCAATCCATTCATCTTTTTTTTTTCTCTATAATGGTCAGAGATAAAGGGCACCTGCTGGGACCCGGATATACTCGGGGAGGATGTTGGTGGGTCTATTCTCCAGATGGGACCCGGATGTTCTCGGACTGAGAAATCCGAGTCTAAAAAGCCCCAGCCCTGCATACTCCAGGGATGTCATCCTCATCCTTCCCACTCTGCATTTCCCACCAGCGTTTGGCGCGCTGCAAGTCAAGACCCCTACCTGGCAGCTTCAGCGCCCGTGACAACACCGTGGCCATGCTGGAGGCAGGAGACGCGCATGCGCCCGACTCTTCTGCCTCCTGGGAAGTGTAGTTTTGCAGATGGCAGGCATTAAGGTGTTAATGAACTTTAGCGTGCTTGCACGAAAATTACGTAGATGGGAAAACAGCCGACAGTCTGCGTTTGTAATTAGCTTTGCAACTGTATATATATTTACGGCTGAGACCGCCTTAAGGTAATCAGCGTAAGGCATTTTGTTTTTCTAAGTGAGTGGATCATATGACATGATGCAAGAGATCCACTTCAGCTTTCCCTAAAATGCTGGGTACCAGTTTTTTTATAGGATCCTTTCCGGCTAGGGCACTAAAGAGATGAGCCAAACTTTGCTAATATTGGAATATTGGACTTCTGGGAGATAATTAACATTCGGTTGGCGCATAGTTTGGCGCCAGGACTACTTCTACTGCCCCTCCCATCCTCCCCCCCCCCCACACACACACACAGACCTCGGCAATTCTAATATAGTAAATCACATTTTTCAATTAAAGGGTTTCAGTTTGTAAGTTCCCTTCCTTAGAGACAGCTGTGAGGCATTGGGAGGAACGAGAGTCAACAAGTGTTTTGCTGTTTCTTTCACGGTCTGGTTATTTTTTTATCCTGCTTTCCGACAGAAAAAGCCAGACCAGACAGAACGCTTCTACCCTTGATAAACTAGGACTACAACTCCCATTTGGGGAGCCGTATTTTAATGGGGGATGAGGGGAGGTTGGCTGGAAAGGTTGCTTATGTTTCAAACGTTCGGGAAATGGTCATTAGCAGGCGTCTTCAGAGGAAGCGCCTTCCAAGTGCTTTGCTCCCTAGCCAAAAGTCGCTCAAGGATCGGAGAATGAAAACGAACTTTCCGATCAGGATACTCCCATTAGCGTTTCCGCTTATAGTATGTCCGGGATCAGAATGTTTTTCTAGCCCTGGAATGCGTTGCTTGTCCTTTCTAGGGGAATTATGGCACATCTCTTCTTGGCACCAACATTTTCGATTTTGCAAATAGCACCGTCAAGGTTTGTAGTCCCAGATATATAAACATTAATGCCTCAATATTCAACACAATTTTGATTTGCAGCCAAGGTGGACTTTGGCTCCAGCTAAGAACCTCTGCAGCCTACAGAAGAAAGATGGGGGTGATCTGAAAGAATCCATGGGAGTATTATGTGTGATAATTGGATCACAAAATGCCTTTTCAAAGATAAATGACATTGTAATACATTCAAAAAAAACTTTAGTGCATGCAAGTCAATGAATATGTAAACATAAAATCATAGGGCTGGGAGGCCCTTTGGGGGTCTCCTAATCCAACCTCCTGCTCAAGGCAGGAAATCTTATATCATTCCTGTCAAATGGTTATCCAATCTATTTTTGAAAACCTCCAGTGATGGAAGCACTCAGTTCCCTGGGAGGCAACCTATTTCACTGAGTGTTCTCACTGTCAGAAAATTTATCCTTATTTCTAGGTTGCATCTCTCTTTAACAAGTTTCTATCCTAATATTATGTCTTGGATGGAAATGTTGCATTATTATAAGCTAGCTCGATACCCATGCTTTGCTACGAAACTATGTGGTCGGGCTTAGTTTTTGGGGAGGAAAATAAGGGGGAAAAATTTGTGCCTCTGCCTACCAACATCCATCAATATTCATCTGGCTAGCGTCCTGACAGTGTGTGAGGGTTGAGGGCTGTTTGGAAACTGAAACAGTATTTGCTGTGGGAGCAAGGAGACAGCAAGGAGCCCGGGCATGGCTTAGATTAACTGTTCTCTACTAAAGCTGCTTAGGGCTGTGTAACTAATGCTGAAACTGAAACTCTTCTCCTCTGCTTGTGTTTTGCGTTTGGAACAGATTTTTTCAGGTGGGGAGGGGGAGTAGAACTCCTTAGCATCAGAGTGTGTTAATGATAATATACTAAATACTAATGGTCGTCATTTTGAAAAATCCTTTCTTAGTGAGCACCTAGAAGCCAAGAGGAACATACGTGCCAAATTTCAAGTTTGTAGGCTTTTTGGTTCTGGAGATTTTGTGTTGATGCATGAGTGGTATTTTGCTTTTATATATATAGTATAAATAATATTAATAGAAAGGAAGAAAGAAAGAAAGAAAGAAAGAAAGAAAGAAAGAAAGAAAGAAAG